CTTCTCAACTTCACGTGCCTTCTCTTTCAATTTTTTCTCATTTTCACTTTGATGTTGTTTTATGAGAAGTAACTTTGCATTTTGTAGGAAATCGGCCGGTCTATCAATGATGTTATCGCCACTTCGCGGATCTACTCGACACGATGGAATTGGCTTCAACACAGGATTGATGGGTAGTTTCTTAATTTTCCTCATCCAGCGGTTTATGTAATAAAGAAACATTGCTGTTGTCTTGACCAGTTTGTAATAGGTTCCGAATCTTTGTTCTCCTATTAGAATTTCTTGGTTTTCGGTTACGATTTCTGTTAGAATCAGAGTGTTCTTGGCTTCCTCTTCAACACTTTGAGAGAAATTTGGAATTTCGAACCATTGAATTTCTTTTGGCCAAAATTTTTCATCACTTTGTAGGAATTGTGGGCCTTCCAACCATACGCTTTTATGTAGTTGCTCGGCGGTGATTCCTTTGGTGCCGTAGTCATCTGGGTTTAACTTTCCAGGGACATGAAACAATTTGACTGAGATTTGCAATGCCTTTAGTTCTTCTTGAACCTGGACAATTTTGTTTGTCCGGTTCTGAACAAATTTTCCTGCTTTATCCCTTGTTTTTTCTTGGGTGACCCATTTCAGTGCCACTTCTGAATCTCCGCAAATGACAATTTCATCAATCTTTAATTTTATTTCTTTCAATAGGTATTGGATCTGCTTATGAGCACATTCTAGGGCTAATAATTCCATTTTTGGGATTGTGGGAATGACTTTCGTAGGGTTCAACCGATTCTTTGCGAAGATTATCGATGACTCAAATCTTCCACTAGTTTTCGATTGCAGCTATGCGCCAATTGCGAAGGCTTTTGCTGATGCATCAGCAAAGATCGCTATTCTTGTGTAATCTCTTTGTAGTGTCGTAAAGATGAACCTTGGGATCGTGATTCTTGTTTCTTTACCGAACTTGCTTTCAATTCCTTCCCATTGCTCACTCTGTTTTTCCGGTAGTTGATGGTCCCATTTTAAGTCTTTGATAGACCATAAACTTTGATAAAAACTTTTAGCCTCAACTAGCAATGGGGTAGCGATTCCCAATGGGTCATAATTCGTTGCAATAGCTTGGATTATTTTCCTTTTGGTTAACGGTCGTTCCGCCTTAATTTGGATTATTTGCGATAAAGTATCGTTGTCGTTGTCCCAAGTCATTTCTAGCAGTTTTAGTGAACTTTCCACGATTTTATCCTCCTTTTCAATCGAGTTTAGCACAATTTTGTTGTTGCTAGTGAACTCTCTAATGTTCATCTTCATTTTTCTGAAGACATCCTTGTAAATCTTATATTTTTGAATTGCTTCTTTCTCGCTATGTCCGCCGACAAAAAGATTGTCGACGCACATATTTTTAACAACTTCATCCTTCAGTTCGGGGTAATTTTGTTCTAACATGTGTAGTATTGACATTGTGAGTAGAAAGGCACTGGTTTTAACACCAAATGGTGTCCGTGTATATCTCAAAGCTCTCAAATTCTGGAAAGAGACGGGTTGTTTGTAATCTTTCAACCACAATATGCGAATTGCATCCTTTTCGGAACTTTGTAAGTGAACTTGATGATATGCTTTCTCTACATCGGCTGTAAGCAATATTGGAAATGTCCTCAATCTTATCAAGATTCCGATCATGTTTGGGATCAATGACGGGCCTTGGTGCATGATTTGGTTCAGCGATTTCTGCCCTTTCATGCTCGCGCTTGCGTTCAAAACAATTCTTAGCTTTGTGGTCCTCGAGACTTCTTTTATTACCGCTTGATGTGGTATATAAAAGCTGGTTGGGCCTTCAATTTTTCTTGGTGCTTCTTCTAGGATTCCTTGTTCCAATTGTTTTTGGAATTCTTCATTATATTTTACCAATAGTTCTACTTTCCTTTAAGTTGCTTGATGAGGCTATGCAAGTATTGCATCGCAAGCTTGAAATTATCATCAATTTTAGGATTTTTCTCTATCCAAGGGAACTTTACATGAATTTTTCCATTAACGAGTTGGACCTCTTCTTTGAATTTTGTGACAACTTCTTGTTGCTCCTTTTCTGAAGCTGCGGCTTCAGGAGACTCAGTGATGCCCATTCTTTCTAGGTCCCAAAATTTTTCCTCGGTTATGTAACCGATAGCTGTGGAAATGTTCGTAATGTTCCTGACCTTCTTGTTTAAACATAAATCTAGCTCTCCACATTTAATTTTTCCTAGTTTGTTTCAATTTGCACCAAACCGCTGTGATGAATTGTCCAAGGTTCTTGTTGAATAATATTCCAACAAAAGTCTTGACCAATAATTATGTCAATTTTGGTTCGTCTCCCAGTGCGATGTTAGCTTCGGGAAGCTCCGGCAACTCCATCACTTCGAGCTTAAATGTGTCAGGTAAATGTTTGTTAAAGATTTTTGATTGTCGTAATAAAATTTTGAATGTTTTCGTTTTAATTACGCTTAAAGCCCCAATGGCTGTTTTAACGTTTAAAACTTTGGCATTTATGCTCGACAATTTCAAATTTTCTGCTAGATCTTTTGAGATAAAACTTTCCGTTGAACCTGTATCGATTAAAACGTTTACTTTGTCTTTGTAATGTTTTTCGTTGTCTGGATTGACCGCAAACACTTGTAATATGCTTGTTACGTGAATCTTTTGGGAAAGCTTTGGGTATGAATTGTTGAAGCAGAGCAAATTTTCTGATTGATTAAAATTTTGTGAAAAGTTAATATTCTTCAGCTGTGGTTTCCTTTGAGACGCGAAAAAATTTTAAACCGCAGTCGTTTTGAACTGTTGAATTTTGCTCGAAGTATCCCGTATTGGAAGGATATTCTTCAGATTTTGTCCCGAACTTTCACTGTGTACATGGTGGATATTGCTGTTAACCGTTTGATGATGATTATTAATTCTATTACTGGTTATTTCCAAAATTCTGACCAGGGTTCCGACATGTTCTTGTGTTGTGAAGTCCTTTGCATTTCTGGCATTTCTCGTGTCGACAAGCGTTGGCGTAGTGTCCTTTCTCGAAACAGATTGCGCACACCCTTGCATCTCTAATGCATGAAAATATTTGATCCTGTTTCATTGATGTGACCGATCGGCAATCCCTTGTGTGGTGATTTGTTCTTGAACAGAAAACGCACTTTACGGTTTCATTACGTTGAAACTTTGCAGCTTTTGGTTGGATCTGCTCAACGGTGTTGAGTTTTTTGTCCAAACTTCTCAAGGCATCGTATTGTTGCTTTGATATAATTTCTGATTCAATCTTTCTCAGCAATTTTTTGGTGGACCACTCTTCACCAGTATCCCTTTCCTTTTCATCTATCTTCGCAATGAATGAAATGGGGAATTTGGTTTTAATCTCGCGTCTCATGAGGACTGACTCAGTATGCTCTCCTTGTGTTTTAAAATTTTCAATTAACCCTTTCAATCTTTGAAATGTGTTGAGCATATCGTCAGCATCGTTTGAGCATCTGGGGATGGACTCAATAGCGTTTGCTGTTGCTGCGATTTGAACTATGACTGCTAATTCGATGCTGTGACTTTTTCCGTGCAAATTTGCGGAATAAAAAAAGCAACCTAAAGTCACAAGTATATTTAATTTCCCTAATAAATTGAATTACTGACTTCTCAGTTTTTATACCTCTTCTAAAAAAAATCCTGGGTCTAATATACACTACAGCAACAGTACCCCTCAAAAGATCTCATTTACTTTATTGATCCAAAGTATTTTTAAAAACATTTTCTTCAATCTTTTCTCAATTTTCAAAAATTCCTTTTAATTTTCAATTAGCACAAATGAGGGGCAAAAAAGTTGGGAAATTTTTTCCACCTGTACCGGATCCGATTTTGAACCAGAGAAATCATTCTCGCTGTGCCCAAAAATCAAATAATTTTTTACCTTTTCCCAAAAGAATTTCCTCGTTAAAAGCTATTTTCTGAATGTCTATTTTCATGGAAAAAATATGGCTTGCTTTTACAATTTTTGCAAAAACCTTGTCCCACCTGTGAAGTTTTGGCTAATAGTGAGTAGATCCAGGAATATTTTCGATGTAGTCAGAGATGAACTTTTGAAAACGCCATTTCCATTTATAGCTTGTACTTGTTACTTTTGTTTGCTCTAGTATTATCACATACATACTTTCAGTGTCGTAAATTAGAAATACACGTTTTCAATTGGCATATTTAATTCCTCTTTTTTCCACAGCAGCAAGCAAGACCGGATCCTAGAACCGTAAGCTAGGCTAGACCAGAAAACTAGGTTCAGGTATGGCTTTGTTTTTATTTTATCTTAATGGATACATGTTTTTAAAGGACTAGATAGATAATACCATTTTTTAGCTTCATCGAAAAAACTAGAAAAGGTCGTCAATTTATCGTCCGATTTCAAAGCGAAACAAGGCGATTCGATTTGATTTGCAAAATTTCTGAAGTCGTGGAACTGATTTGATTGTAGATTCGGGAATCAGCTGAAAACTTGTTTTTTATGATTTGTTTCATTCTGAAACCGGTGGCAAAGTGGTGACATTTTCTATGCAAATCATTCTGAAAGTTGTCTCTTGTGGCCTGGTCAATAAACTGCTTGAAAACCATTGTTTGTTCGGTCATTTTTTCATTTACGAGGCCAAAATTTGTCAAGTCAGAAACCCCGGGCCGGACTTCTCAAAGTTATGTTTTGGCCATGCGTGCTAGTGAGCAATCTTTCCCATTTTCTCATTGCTCCTTTGCTCAGCAATCTCCAGTCTCACTACATTGATGTAAATGGTGATTGGAAATTGACTCCCCTGGGATTTTCTTTAAAGACTTTCAAAAAACCCTTCAAACGTACCTGGAGTTTGCTGATTAATGTAAAGGTTCAAAAACTCATCATTTAGCTATTTTAAGTCACAAATAGGATTTTCCAAGAAAATCTGTAATCATAATCGGATGTTGTGTTTTCTTTGCAATTTGCTCATTTGAATTCTCCTTCTCAAGAGTTCGGTATTCAAATTTTAGCAGTAATGTATCCAACAATGTTTTTCGTTTATTTAATCTACGGAACGCCGACGTTTATTTTGTATCTCCGAGCGATTTATGTTATTTGTAAACAGAGGAAGAAATTCTCGAGCACTTTCTATACGCTGTACACGAATTTGTTGATTGTGGTGGGTTGACTTTATTTTACATACCAATTGAACAATCAATCATTAATTCAAAGAATCCACAGGTCAACCGTTATTGTTTACCTATCTGAGTTGTTGAATAACTCAAATGCTCCAACCGAGTTCTAGGGTCTGTAAGTCAGACTAGAAGCCAGTTTCAAACCTGGCTTCTGGCTGGCCCAAGCCAGACCGGGTCCAGATTTCACTAGAGCTAGCAAAATTTACGAATACGTTTTGCTCGATCTGTTCGATCTTAAAAGAATACGCACTGTTCGATCTACACATGTGAAGAGACCGGAATTTTTCTAGGCCAGTCGAATAGTGACAATCCCGGGAGGTGGCAGGACTTTCAACTCAACACGACAAAATGCGGATCACTGTCATGCTGACAGCACGACAGATTCAAATGCTAGCCATTCGTTTTGCTCAGATGCGAAGGTCATCGCCAAACTTCAGAACAAGCTGCACTGGGGTGGATCTACATAAATGAATGATACTTTGATTGGAACCTACCTTCGAAAGATACTCCACTTTTTGAAAAACGATGAATCGTCTGAGATAACTTTTCGGCTCACGAAAGCGAATTACGAGGAAAATTCTAAAGGATTTGCAAATTGATTTGGTTCTGGTACCTGGACGGTGCACTAAGTACATTCAAGCACCGCATGTGGTCTGGAATGCCCCTTTTAAAACAATGATTTGAGTCCAGTATAAAGATTGGATGCTGAATGGGCGAAGACCGTTGACTCGCAATGGAAATCTGGCCCCTCCACCAATGGAAACCTTGAATCTTGAATGGGTTTGGAATGCGTGGAACGAACTCCCGAAGAGCTTCACCATGCTCTTGTTTAAGAATTGTGCGAATTGTGAATTACCACGACTACTGATAGCTCGGAAGATGGACCTTTACTGCTTCAAGAAAGAAGGACCGATTCCTGAAGGCGCGAGACTTCAGGAAAAAATGCTATGGCGCAATACTACTAGGGAGAATACGGTTTATGTTACAATTAATGTGTGAATGCCTAGGCCGGACCAGGACCCAGGTTTAGGCAAGGCTAGCTGAGGCAATCTTAGTGACTAGGTAAGTAAAGGCTAGGCTAGACCAGAAATAAGGCCAGGATTTGTTCTGAAAAACTGGATTTGAAACCCTGGTTTTACTTGGCAGGGTTTGACGATTTCAAGTAAGCAATAAAAGTCCCCTAAATTCTTGAGGTCAACTTGTCGTGCAAGTATTCCGAAATTTCCAGGACGTTCTCACCTACATCGTCAACTATCCAGGCGTGAAATGCAAAGAGATTCCCGAGTTGGCGCCGCTTTATGTCGGAATCGAGATCTCATTTCCTCCATTTCGTATCATTCGATGGTTTATGAATGTCGTTTTTCATCAACAATTCCTTTCGACAATTCTGATTCACGCGAATCGTTTCACCGCAATTTGGTTTCCCTGGGGATATCAAAAGGTAATCAAACATTGAAAAGATTAGTACATTAAAAGATTAACACCCGTACATCGTCCGGGCTTTCATGTGGTTTCTGAAATTTGAAATCTGAAATCAATCGAAAAATACACAAAATTGTATGTACGATTTACCCAATTACCGTATTTCCTGTAATAGAAGCCCCCTCCTCTCTAATAGAAGCCCCCCCCCCTCCCCTAGAGGTTCATCGAAAAAATGGAAGCCCCCTCTAATAGAAGCCTCCCCCCAATTTGCATTTAAATTTACATTCAAAATTCTGCGTTCATTAAATATCCATTTTTGACTGAATAACTTGCTCTCTTTTCTCTTTCTCTTTGTTGTTAGCCCTCACAAATTCGTCCGCAAATCAACAAATTAGGCGTGTTTTTGACTAAAATATGGCAGTTTTTTAAAAACCACTTGCATCAATCGATTTTTGATGGGAAATTTCGTTGGCCGTTTCTGTGTAAAATGACCGATTTTTTGACAAAATGCGATTTTTAAAAGATCCACAAGACAGATGTTGATAATTTTTTCACCATTGAATTCAACACATTTTTCTGCGTCAAATGGCTATTCAAACGTCAAATCTTATAGAAAACAATTTTTTTATCTTATTTCGCGCGAATGTCTCCCCCCCCCAGAGGAGGATCGAAAAAATAGAAGCCCCGGAGCGTCTATTACAGAAAATACGGTAATCCTTTTTAGTCCAATTCTAAAAAGTCCTCTTCGAAAAAGCTACCGTAATACCGTAATCGTAACAACTGTAAAGTTCCTTTTAAGACAAACATCAACATAATTTGAGCCAGCTATCCGATCGATCGGACTGATTGGCTTAAATCTAAAAGTCAAAATAGTTTTTCTTGGGCACACTTTCTAAAAAACGTAAACGCAAATTAAAAAGTATCACGGGAAAAGCTACCGTACTTTGACTACGTTTTAAAGTTTTAGCTATGATTTTTAGAGTTTGTGCTGCGGGTTAGCTTAAATTAGAGCTATAAATGTCTGTTGTGATTCAAAAAACATTAGGACTACGGTAGTTTTTGAAAGAGGAAACGTTTTAGAAAACGAGTCTTCATCAAAATTTGAGTTGTTTTTTCAGAAACAGTACGACTACGGTAGTCTTAGCATTTTTTAGAAAACTAATTAATCTTTATCACCAAATGCAGTTCTGGAAAGCGATCATTTGGCCAGCAATCATCATCATTCATATCTTTTCCCTTTGTGCCGCTCTGCCCTTCGCTTTCTTGACAAATTCTTTCATTTTCGTCAATGAGACCGTCAGCCGGAATCCTACAGTTGTGCAGGTGGAAAAAAAGAATCAAAAGTTATTCTGTAATTAGTTTTTCCCAATTAGTGCGATGTATGTGATTTGTGAGTTGGTGAAAATTCTAGGAATCAAAGAGCCTTGGTTCAAGAAAGAGGATATAAAAATTGGTTATTGAAAGAAGTCAGGTTTTGTCAGCTAATTGAGACATCAAAGATCTACTAGTTGAGCTTATAGATCTCAACTACAAGTATAAACTGTTTTGTAGTATACTTTATACTCAAAAACTTTGTAAACACGTTCAGCTCGGTTCATTTTCTTACAGCAACACTGAAAACAAGAGAAAAAACAAAGAGTGAGTGTGCCCGAAAGGGTGTGTTTGCATTCGTGAGCAGTTCAAAGTACACCACAAAGAACAAGTATGACTGTACGCTTCCAGTTCTAAAAACGTGAGCCCACCTTTTCTGGAGCATCAGAATCATTGGAGTTCTTATATGACCAAGCCGAAAGACCAAGATTAAGTGCGCCAGAAAAAAAGTGTTTGCTTTTACGTACTAATTCTGCTTATAGGCACAAGTTAAGGTTAAGTAATTTGACACCATGCCAAGTGCTTAGAATTATATTAATAGCTTGATATCGTGTATCCAAAGCTTATATCTTTAGGATTTTGCCTACGCTTTCGATAGCTTGGCGATCTCTTCAAAGGTTTACATCATCATTGGTGGGATTCTCAATACTCTCTCTTTTCTCAAATTGCTGCAAAGGAATGCAAACGTGTAAGTGCAAACACATGCGGAAACTATTGAAATGGCTGGATTAAAAGTCATTTTTCAAAAGTCAAAAGAACAAGTTAAGCTTTGTGGTTCAAAGTTCAAAGTTCAAAATTCGACTTCATTTTTCTCAAAGATGATACCCAAACTAGGTCAAACGTCTGTCTTGATAAAAGCCCAGTGTTTCCTGCTCTAATTTCAATTTTGTCTTGTAATATCTAATCTTAGAGCTGCTGGCAGTCGCGTGCACGAAGTGAGCCTTTTCGTCATTGGTGTATGCTCATTTTTGGTGCAAGGAATCTGTGCTTTAGTGGTGGTAAGTTGAGTTCTGAGTCTTTAATGAAATATTGAAATTCCTAGGACAAAGTCGTCAGCAATACCATCAAACCTGATCCGACGCTCGCGAATGTCATTGTGAGTTCAAAAAATACTTCAAATTCGCTCAGGAACTGATTGTGTGGCTGTTTTCTTTCAATTAACTATCGTTTGCAAGTGTGCGCAAAGTACGATACTGCATTATTGCTTGATCTAGTTACCGTAGTCTAGCGTAGGTGGACACGTCAAATCCATGTTCAGAATACAAAATCTAACATGAGCCGAGAATCGAACCCGGGACCTCTGATGCATCATTACCAATGATCAAACAATGGTCTACATCGACACCTAACTCAGTGTCACAAGAATAGAGTAATAACATTAATTAGCTACTAACTTTAACTAACCGACACAAGCTCACCATTTGGCTTAAAGCCAAAAAGAAAGCCGGACTACGGTCGCTGGTTCTGTAAACACTTTAGTCGCAAGGAATGCAGTTCTCTTCAAGTCGAATTTCTTATGTCTTTCATTTTTCAGGAAATCTATTTTATTCTTACATAAAGCCATATCCATTTCAGACAGCTCTCAATGGCGACTGTATGGCGTTTACCGAGGTCTACATCGGGATCGCTTGCAATCAACAACTACGTCGGGCAATCTTGGGTAGATTGAGGATATCCTGGCAGATCACACAAGATACAGTAGTCACACATTCGGGTGGCGGAGGATCGGGTCAACACAAAAATAGTCATCACACGAATATGCTCCGATCGAATTCGACCCCGGTGGCTGATCGAATCGACCGGAAAGTGTCGTGAATGGACAAAAAAAGTTCTTGAAGGAAGAAATTTGAGTGGTTTGATGATAAATCTTTGATTATTTGATATTATTTGAACGCAAAGAATTTGAAAATTGTCAAATTTTCGTTCACAATGAGATTGAATTGATCAACATGAAAACTTTGCCATTTTCAATTTTCACATTTGCTTTGTGCGGTGAGGGCTGAACCAAGTGGATCGTCGTTATCTGGGGCAGGGGCCACTTCTTCAGGACTTCAGGCTTCGACCAAAAGCTTCGCTGTAATAGCGGCGGAAGTCGTCGGCCCTGAAGGATCTCACACAATGGTCTATCGGAGTCGATCGCCTCTTTGATGGCACGCGAGCGGCTTGTTCGGTAAAGCTTCTGAAGGCGGGACGCATCGGCCGGGTCGTAGGCTTGCTGTTGATGGCTTCTTCTTGAGGTGGGTCTTCTTGCATTGTTTCGGGTGGCTTTGGCTCGTTGGGCGGCCATCTTTGTCTTTGCCTCTTCAACAAACTCATCCAGCAGCAAAACCCGAAGTGTTCCCATATCATCGAACCATTTGGGTTGGTGGGAGGCACAAGAGTAATATGAGTAATATGTAAGATAGTAAGATAGTAAGATAGAGTAATGATTGTGATGTGTTTGAAGGACAGACTCAAGTCGGTCCGCGATTACATTTTTCCCTTCATTTCGCACCGATAGGCGCTATTGCACTTACTGGCGGAATCGGCGCACAACCCCAGCGATGGGGGAACAAAAATAGAACAAAAAAGAAGCTCAAAACGGAAAGCTTTCCATTGTTTCATCAAAAACTTCAAACAAACCATCATCTTTACTCTACCTTACCATCTTAGATCTTACTCAAAACGCGTGAAGCTCGAAATGCCTGGTCTTCGAGGATCCTCGACTTCCGACAATTAGTTTGGCATAAGATGTCGCGAAGTGAGTAAATCTGCGGCTCTGGAGAAGAAAATTAGTCATTTTGTTTACGGCACTTTTTGATAGCAATTCTATAATTTTGAGTTTAGAGTTGCGATTTATGGAAAGAACTTGAATCCATCACGATTTTACTTTGCGGTCGTGTGTGAGGAGGATCGTGACAAAGAGACTCCTAGCAGAGCCGTCAATTTTTTCAAGGATAGCGTCATCATTGAGGTTATTTTTGGCACTTTACGGTTATGATATAGTTTATTTTAACTTCGACTCATTGAGGCGAATTTTTCGAGCGCATAAAATAAAGCCGTCTGCAACATTTTCCATGCCAGTGGTGTTCACTTTTCATCGATCCTTTCTGAAGCGGTAAATTGTTTCAGGCTTTCATAAGTGACACCCATGTTTAGGGGCGTGTATTGTTCATCGTCCAAAAAGAAAGCTACGACATTTGGCAACCTTTGGGAATTATGACCGGCTGTGTGTTGCTCATTATGTGGTCTGGTGGGTTTTTTGCAATGAGAAATGTTTTGGTTTAAAGTTTAGCTATGTTGTCCGGCTTAAACTTTGCCCTCATTTGACTTTCCGTCAAATATTTGGACTTCAGGAACTGTGACTGGCAATATGGTGATGAGCTTGACCGCGACAAATGGTCGACGGCCAGCTGGAACGGGATACTGCCGTTGATTTGTATCAGCAGCGAACAGGTATTTTTTAAAAGCCCGTTTGATTCAAAAGCTGCACTGTTTTTGACTTATCTCAACTTTTCCAGGCTTCAACAGCCGAGCCCACTTGTCCAGCATGTCCAAAAGAGTGTCCCACCGAATGGTTCTACACGGCTTCCCTTCAAACTTGCTATAAAGTGCTCAAATTTTGTTATCAAGAAAAACAAAGTTCAGGTGGGCCCCGGTGATCGAGATTATCAATGGTCTGATGGGACACCTTGGTACTACCCAAATTGGTGTTTGCCGATGGCTTGTGGCCGGGGCAGCGGTGCCTTCGAGTAAGTTTTGACGTTCAGTATTTAGTGAGCTTTAAATTTTATAAAGAAATTGATACAAAGAATATAATAAAACTAAAGTTTGATCAAATCAGAATTTAGCCAGCATCTTGCATAGCGATAGTCGAGGATCCTCGAGGACCGGGCTTTTTGAGCTTTACGCTTTTTGAGTAATATGTAAGATAGTTTGGCATAAGATGTCGCGAAGTGAGTAAATCTGCGGCTCTGGAGAAGAAAATTAGTCATTTTGTTTACGGCACTTTTTGATAGCAATTCTATAATTTTGAGTTTAGAGTTGCGATTTATGGAAAGAACTTGAATCCATGACGATTTTACTTTGCGGTCGTGTGTGAGGAGGATCGTGACAAAGAGACTCCTAGCAGAGCCGTCAATTTTTTCAAGGATAGCGTCATCATTGAGGTTATTTTTGGCACTTTACGGTTATGATATAGTTTATTTTAACTTCGACTCATTGAGGCGAATTTTTCGAGCGCATAAAATAAAGCCGTCTGCAACATTTTCCATGCCAGTGGTGTTCACTTTTCATCGATCCTTTCTGAAGCGGTAAATTGTTTCAGGCTTTCATAAGTGACACCCATGTTTAGGGGCGTGTATTGTTCATCGTCCAAAAAGAAAGCTACGACATTTGGCAACGTTTGGGAATTATGACCGGCTGTGTGTTGCTCATTATGTGGTCTGGTGGGTTTTTTGCAATGAGAAATGTTTTGGTTTAAAGTTTAGCTATGTTGTCCGGCTTAAACTTTGCCCTCATTTGACTTTCCGTCAAATATTTGGAGTTGATCGCTCGACACGGGAGCAAGAAAGAAAGTGTGAGTGTTACTGACTTAATAATTTACATAAAGTTCATAGATCTTGGCTAATTTTTAAACTTTTGCTTTAGAAACGCGCCAAAGGAATCATCAAGCTGCGAAAGTACGGATATTGGATCATTTGCACCTATGCCACTTTGAACGTCTTTGTGAATGTGGTATTCACGATTCTCTCTGAAAAAGTTTTTCCGGTAATTGGAGAAGGCTTGTTGACTGAAAATAAACTTTTTTTGAAGGGCTCATGAAGTGTTGGGAAACATATAGCGGAAATTTTTATTCCCCCGTTTTTATCGTCGCTTTTGGAGGGTTAACACTACAGGTGAGTAGGATTTTATTTTTGATTTGCTCAACTTATTTCAAACCATTCAACTTGTGATTTAGGTTGTTTGCCATCGCCGTGGTCTGGTCGTTTCATGGTTGACTTGGTACTTCCCGTGGTTTTGTCTGTTCGCGATGTCTCCTGTTTGTTATCTAGCTGCTCGACTTAGCAATTGCTTGCTTGGACGGTTAGTTTTGCACGTGTTCAATAAAATAAAGTTGTTTTAGAGAAATGGCCAAGCGCACAAAAGCGGAAGCGATGGAATTAATGAGCCAAAACATTCGATTAATTACGGAAGAAGATTTTGATTTTGGACTTTCGCACTCCTCCAGCAAATGGTTTTCTTTTAACAATTTTTGAAAGGATACAGGACTTGCAGAAAACGGTTGTCGGTCAAGTACACACGCATGTTGAGGACATTTTTCGACTTACCGACAAGGGAATTCTCGATGAAAAAATTTCCTTTGCATGTATCTTTATGGCTTTTCATGATTTAGTTGCTTTTTGTGATTGCCGAGAAGGTTTATACGAGAGTGTCGATTTTTGAGACGAACAATTTGATAATATATGTTCTCGATGATGTATGTGCCTTGCTGTCCTGTCGATTACGGGACAAGAACGGATTAGATTTCTCCTGATTTCTATTTTGCACCAACTTTAAAGCTGTTTAAATCTACTCCGGTTTCTATGTGACAATTTCAGGCAAGAACTCTATTGTACAAAAAGGGATACAATTGTAGGCCGAAAAGGGGAAGTCATCAAGTAAACATCTCACTTTTGCGCAAATGAAGCTATCAATTTAGAAGGATTTTTGTCATTTTCGTTGGCGGTCTGATTGTTGACAAAAGCAGCTATATCGCTGCGATCATTCATGGCATTGAATTGCTGAAGGAGTTGTTTGAAAGTGAGCAAATTTAAACTATTTTTAATCTTTGTCATTTAGCCCAAAAATATCGAAATCGGGAAATCTTGGCCGTTTAACAAAAGTCTCCTGCTGCAAAAGGTTTGTTGATGGCGTGCATTAAGATTTATTTCATTTAGGAGACGGTCTCTAAATGGCTTTCTCCTACGGATCTACTCAACTAGCTAATCTTCTCGAAAAAGAAGAGGATAGCAAAAGAGGTTTTGTTTTAGGCGAAATGCTCAAAAATCTTTTTTAGTTTTTCATTGAAATCAACGGTCAAATCAAAGTCGAGTCATTGTCTCAGCAAAGAACCTTCTACCAGCAGAATTTAAATCGGTTACTCATGCGTGTTTGTCGTAGATGATCATAGTTTAGCTGACCAACAAGTAACACCCAAGCCAAAGCGAGCTTTATTGGAAAGAATGCGAGAGGAAGGAAAAAACGTTCAAACATTTCTGCAAGCAACTTCCCGATGAGTTGAGAAAATAAACGATTAAGGGGGTTAATGAGATTCTTTTCTGACTCAAACTAATGGTATTACTTAGGAAAGAGCCGACGACATTCAATTCGACACGGAAAGGCGCAAAGACTCGGAACGAATCCAGCAATCGAATGTGAGTTTGCGACTTAAGTCCTTCTAATCTTTACTTTTTTTAGAAAACTTTTAAATGAGTGAGTCGCGCGGCCGTCAGTGGGACCGCCGTTTTGCCAATCAACTGTTCGCCACTTATGTCACCAGTAAATTACCTAATGATAAATGTTTTGCGATTTCAGCTGTCATATTCCATTAATTAACGATATTGCTTCAGACTTACGATTCTCTGCCAAAGATGCGGAAATCTTTTACGAAATTCCGAGAAACTCGCAGCCAATCACGAAAGCCAACTCCACAGCCTAAACAAGTATCAAAGGCAAAATTTGAAGACTATTAATAGCTTCTTTAGGAACCAATACCAAATTTTGAGGGAAGTGGACAAAGAGCGGAGAATTTGTACAGGGATTAAAACAATTATCCGATTTTCTTTTGTAAATAAATGTTTTGTCACCGTCCTGCCCCATTTCATTAAACATAAGCATAGCAGCAAATCCATTTCTTGAGGCGTTCCCACATCATCGAACCATTTGGGTTGATGTGAGGCACAGTTGAACGAGCCGGGAGCCGGATGGACGGCTGGGCAGCTGCAGGATTCGGCGTTCTTGGCAGTGGCCTCGGTGGAGTTGGGGCCACGATTCGGTTTGGTAAAGGAATTAACTGGTCCACAGTTTTTTTTAGTTTGTTTGAAAGTGCTGTAATGCATAGGAAAAGAGAAAGCATTTGCAAAACAGCTTTGAGAAGCTTTTCTACTTTAGAATTGCCGGCATCCACCTCAACAATCCTCGACGACAGAAGTTGCACGATTCTACTGAATCAAATTTGCTGAATAAGCTATAATCAAAAGCGTGTCAGGTTAGAGCCTTTTGTGTTACATTTTTTGATTCGATGTTTCAGAAAAAAATACATGGCCTGCCTCAAAAGACGAACGCTATCGATGGAGGACAGCTATCTACAATGAGCTCAACGACATTGCAGACGACAATGGTGACGATGCTGACGATATGCCTGTTGCTGAAAGCATTGAATTCTGATTTTTTACAAAAACCGATCTTTACGTTTGTTAATTTTTATCGTTGTTGATATTTATGTATTTGTAGATCTTTTTCAGCAGAAAATCGTCTGCAAAGTCATGGTTCATCTAATGGCTTTGATCGTTGGACAATTGGTGAGTTTGTGTTGGAAGATTATAAGAAAACATTCTACTCTTTGTTTAGTGACAAACTCGGCGTGACTAGAGAGGATCGATTTCTATTTCCGACTTCGTTCCAATTTGATCCCTCAATCATCGAACTTTTTCTTTTCTTAAGTTTAATACCTTGAAGATAGATGAATCGTAGCGATCCGTGAAGATGAGGATGAGGGCGGATTTTTAATGAATGATTATTAAAATGATATTTCATAAAGGATAAATGATATGATTATTTAACGATTATAAAGTTGTTATTTAGTGACAAAAAGTTGTTATTTAGTGACAAACTCTCGGTTTCTGGCCAGAATCTGCTGTTGCCAGCACAATTGATGGAACTTGCTATTTTGGCATTCCTTCGGCTTTTTCGTTTACCAAAGGAGAAACATTTTGTGCAGAGTGAAGAAACCTTTTGGAAATTTAACTTTTAAAAAGTTTTAGTTTTGATGGGCATCTGGCCTGAATCACAAACGAAGATGATAACGAGAAAGTTTTGCAGATTGAAGGGCAGATTGTTGCGGTGAGCTTGATTTTAGAAAAGCCAACTTATTTTGAAGGCTCGCTAACAATATATTGGACAAAAAAATTATAGACATTTATTAACATTCATTCTGCAACTTCAATGTACATAATTTTTGAATTCAGGAAGAGAAACAGTCTGGTTTGGTGGGATCTACGATGGAAGGAATGTGAGCTGGTTTGATGGATCACCGGGTGTTTATCATAATTTTGTCCCAGGTGGACTTTGAAAGTTTTAGATTTGTTTGGATAGCGGATTGAAAAACACAACAGCAAACTTCAGGAACTGTGACTGGCAATATGGTGATGAGCTTGACCGCGACAAATGGTCGACGGCCAGCTGGAACGGGATACTGCCGTTGATTTGTATCAGCAGCGAACAGGTATTTTTTAAAAGCCCGTTTGATTCAAAAGCTGCACTGTTTTTGACTTATCTCAACTTTTCCAGGCTTCAACAGCCGAGCCCACTTGTCCAGCATGTCCAAAAGAGTGTCCCACCGAATGGTTCTACACGGCTTCCCTTCAAACTTGCTATAAAGTGCTCAAATTTTGTTATCAAGAAAAACAAAGTTCAGGTGGGCCCCGGTGATCGAGATTATCAATGGTCTGATGGGACACCTTGGTACTACCCAAATTGGTGTTTGCCGATGGCTTGTGGCCGGGGCAGCGGTGCCTTCGAGTAAGTTTTGACGTTCAGTATTTAGTGAGCTTTAAATTTTATAAAGAAATTGATACAAAGAATATAATAAAACTAAAGTTTGATCAAATCAGAATTTAGCCAGCATCTTGCATAGCGATAGTCGAGGATCCTCGAGGACCGGGCTTTTTGACAAAATGAAACGAACAGCACGAAAGCCTTTCCACTTCACTCTCAACTTTCGCATTCCCTTTGTGCATCCCCTTGACGGGGATGCGTTCCAAAATTTTATCAAGACACTTTGACAAGGTCTTGGGGTTAATGCTAACCTCAAACTTGGGTAATTAAACCGAAGTGGGAGATCTCTGTCGCGCTATGTGTAGAGGTCGTAGGCCAGTAGCCGCTTTTTCCTACGAGACACACAAAAGGTGCACACAGTCGCGTCGTCTCGCGTCTCTTCGGTGATAAAGGATAGCTTTCTCTCTCTTTCTTTCTTTCTTTCTTTCTTTCCTTTCTTTCCTTTCTTTCGTTTCTTTCCTTTCAACTATTTCAACCGTCTTTCACCGCCCAGCACTCGCTTACGACCATACCACGTTGAAAACACGGCATCCCGTCCGATCTGCCAAGTTAAGCAACGTTGGGCTCGGTTAGTACTTGGATCGGAGACGGCTTGGGAATCCCGAGTGTCGTAAGCTTTTTGCTTTTCGCCGGTAGAGTAAAGATGATGGTTTGCTTGTAGGTTTCGATAAAATAAAGGAAGACTGTCGCTTTGCGCTTTGTTTTTCGTTCTTTATTTTGTTCCCCCATCACTGGGGGTGTGCGCCGATCCCGCCAGTAAGTGCAATAGCGGGCCGACGCTGTACGGCGAGAAGCAAGCTTCTACAAACCGTACCCGTTCCAAAAATTGATTAATCTCGATGAGTTCAATAGAACTCGTACCGGAGATTAAGCCGATAAGAACAGATTTAGTTTATTCAGCGAATATTGGCCATGGTATAAAAAACCCCAGGCGGTCCATCACAATTTACAGGGCAATAAGAAATGTTTGATACAACCAATCGTGAGATCGGATTGCATAGACTAAAATTACAAGAGAAAATCAAGAAAAGTATGGAAGTGAACAAAAGGAATTTGACTCACTTATAGAAATCACAACTCGAAAAAGAAAGAATTAAAACATGAATATAAATCTTATGAAATCACAAATCACAAGATTAAGCACAAAATTGTAAATTTAAGAAGAAATATTTCGTCTTTAGTAGAGAATATTCAGTCTTTAGTAGACAATATTTAGTTTAGCAGAATTAAATTAGGCCGTTTCATATTGTCGTTTGCCCGTTAGATGCTCCACATAAATGTCCCGGGACCATTTGATTGCATCAGAGATCATTAGCTTCTGCATGAGCAACGCGTATTTCGCCGAT